AAATTTGAATTCCCCATTTTGGCTGATGCTCAGCCCCAGCTGCAGCCCTCCCCCACCCCCAAAGCTCTGCACCGCACCCAAGGGCGAGCTCCAGCTCCTAAAATTATTAATAAACAGCCATATTCCCCCAGCAAGGTCGCGTCTGGCCCACACGACCCGCGGGGAATCGCGATATTTTAAGTGCCAGGGAAAGTCATGGAAAATTTAAACCCCGGCCCTAAAGGCATCTGCGTATCATCATCATCCTCCTCCTCCACCTAACAAACGGGGAGGGATGGGAAGGATGGAGCCCTGCAGGTGCCTTTCCAGAGGCAACAGTGCCAGGAGCTGCACAGTATTCCCGTCGGAAAGGCTGGGCGGCTGCGCAGCGTTTCCCAGGGAGTCAAGGTTCCAGACAAAGACACACCAAATAAATAAATAAAACACCGAACCAACCCAAAAAAACCCCACCGGGGTAGCGCTTTGAAATAAGACTCGGTGCTTTGAAGCGTCACAGCAGCAGCGAGTACGGTCTCGGGGCCCCGGGGGACGAGAAGGCGGCGTGACAGCGTGACGATGCGACGGCGTGACGTGGGCGTGCGAGGTGGGCTGGGCGGACGGGATTTCCTGGTGCTGAGCGCTCGGGCACTGTGCACACCTTGCAGGTGCAGTATCACCCTTCCCTCCCACCCAAGCCAGGGGTTTTTTGGGGAAAAAAAAAAAAGAAAATAGAGACCAGAGGAAAAGGACGGGTACCTGACCACCCGGCTCAGGGACGGTGCAGACCCACATCTCCCCACTCTTCCCCGAAGGAGCGGGCTTCCCACCCGGCATTGCCCAGGAGTTTCGCTCCTGACAAGTCCATCTCGAGCTGGCCGCATGTGCAGCTACACCCTGTGCCCGGGGCAGCTTGCTGCAACGGCATTGAACACAGAACTGTATTTTTAAAGACAGAAATTAACACTGCTGCTTTCCCATTTTTGGCATCTCACCACTCAAACCTGCAGCATTTCTCTCTAAAAATCCAATCACGGGTTCTCTATGCTGCACTGGAAAGGCTCCTCAGACCCAACACACTCAGCCAAGAACACCAGACTCGGGGAAGGACAGTGAAGTCTTCCGCGGGCTGCGCGTGACCTTGTACAAGACATTTCATCAAATTATTCCCCATTCCCGAGACAGGGAATGACCCTTCTCAATCATCAGGGAAAAAGCTGAACGCGTGCAGGTTTGCCTTGTGCTCCACGTGCGACCCTCCGACCAAAGCTCCTCTCACTGACACCTCCAAGGTCGACTGTAGAGGGGTTTTCCCCCCTGTCCCACAGCCCAAACACCTCCAGAAGATCCCTGCGGGAAGGGGAGAGCTGCCCGCAGGTACGGCCAAGGCACCGTTCACAGCAGCATCCCGCTCCTCATCCGTCAATACCAGACCCGAAACAATCATCACCTTTGTCTCTCCAGCGTGCACGCGTTCACACCGCTTTCCTCACTCCATTCCCTGCCTGCCGCTGTGCCGAAGCCACATGACAAAAGCCCCCGGCATCCGCGACAGCTGCCTGCAGAGCTGCCCACCCCTCGCTGCAGGGGACAGGGGTGGCAGCAGTCGAATTGGGCTCTCCCCATGCCCAGATGCCTCCGAGACACAATTTACAAGACGCAAGAGCGACGCTGGATGGACCCGACGCTGCAAATCAGCACTAACATCCCCCACACGGCGGCCAGGGAGAGGCCGAACATGCCGTGACAAAGAGAGCAGTGCCAAAAAGGAAAAAGAGCAGCAGCTCCCAGGGACCAGCATTGCATCACAGCCTCAGAAAGGTTGTGCTCAGACAGAAAAAAATAAACCCCTTTCCAGTTCACCTCTCCCCACCCGTCTGTGATGAAAACCAAGCAATAAACATCACCACTGGATGAACTCCAGAGCCAAGTAACCCAACCACCCGCTCGACACCTGGGATGAGGCTGTTACCCAATGCCCCTGTTTATTTCCCAGCCACGTTTTATCGGTTTCACAACACAAAGCTATGCGCACAGGTTGAAATGCTCACCCCAACCCTTTCCCCCCTCCTTTCACTATTACTTTCAGACCAAGAATAAAACAAACCAAAAGGAACACCCACCCCACACATAGTCCTGGAGCCCTCTAACTGAGCCATCATTCAGTATTATGCCATTCCCAAGTGGGAACCCACTTTTTCCAAGTGCTAAACCCACACAACGTGCAGAGTACCACTCGCTCGGATGGGTACCAGAGAGCAAGAGCCCCCGCCAAGGGCTCCTTTTCCCTCCCACCACAGGTAAAAGAAGGTCCTGCCTACCTCTTTGGTCAGGTCTCCATTCACTGGGGCAGCCACCGCTCCCAAATCTTCCAGTTCTTCCCCAAATCCTTGTTCTGCTCCGCTCTCCCTCACCCCGTTGTCAGGATTGCTCCCATCCTGCAGGCCGCTGCCGTTCTCTAATGCAATGCCGGCGCTGGGCTGGCTACCGGACACGGAGCCTTCGGGGTCTCTGTGCACCAACCAGGCGTTGACTTCGGTGGTGGGCACCTGAAACCTGTCCAGGGCCCGCACCTGGTTGAGCAGCCTGCGAGCAGTGAAGTAATAGTCCAGGTCTACACTTTTTGGGTGGATGCCATATCCATCCAAGGTGTTACGCAGGTTGTGAAACTGGGTCTGGGTGTAAGCGGAGCTCTGGCCAAGAATGATCTCCCGGAGAGGAGGGAGCTGCGAGTTCAGGTAGGTGTCCACGTCCACACGAACGCCGATCAAGCTGAGCAGAATGGTGAACTGGATGAGGCCTTCAGTGAAGTATTTCTTCAGAGAAAGCATTTCTGGCAGAGGAGAAAAGAAAACAGGTGGAGGGTTTGGGAATTAAAAAAAAAAAAAAAAAACACCACACACAACACAAAACAACAACCCAGCTTCAGGTGAATTCTCCACACAACAGGTTGGTTGGGTTTGTCTTTCCTCTGCCCCACTTTCAAACAAACAAAATAAAGCAACGACTTCAGCATTCAGATTATTTAAACAGGATAAAAGTTTAAAGAACATTCAAGACTTTGGGTTCCAAACGAGTTTGTTTTTCTTTTCAAACTCTGGACCTCACCGGTCGGCCAGCAGAGTGCAATTAAAGATTTAAATTTCACGAAGCAACAAACCCTCCCCTGAACACAGCCTCCACCCTCTCTTGCCCTTTCCTCTTCTTCAGAACTGTTGTAGAACACAGACCGTGCAGCCACATAAAAATCCACGTGACTTACTGTCAAAAAACTCCACATCCAGCGACTTCCTCTCGCGCCCCCCCCACCCCCAAATTCCCCACACTCCAGGACGGGGGTCCGCTCCCTCCGACAGCCGGCGGCTCTTTCCTTCCTTTCTTCTGGTCTGCGACGCTTCTTGAAGGAGCCTTTTACCAGCCAAAGGTCCCGATCATGGGAAGGTCCAAAGACTCCTCCGCTCCTGGCTGCAATTTCATCAGCGGCTGAGACACAACCAGAGAGCAAACGCGATAACGCGCCCACCGGGCACCACCCGAAAACATCGCACATGGACCTACTACACCGGGAAACGGGGCGGTTGCCCCACGCGCGGGGCCCGGGGAAAAGCCGAGAGAATTTCACTCGAAAAACTGATTTTCCCGATACGAGAAGGGGGCACAGAAACACACGCCCCCCACACCCCCACCAGGTTACCTCTGGTGACAATACTGTCCGTGCTTCCCCTCCCGGAGCTATTCTTAGTTTGGTGCGTCAACTTCCCCTCTCTCCCAAGGAATCCAGCCCCGACTCCCTTTCACTCTTTACCCCGCTTTTCCCGCAGCTCCACAAACCGCCCGTATTTTTTTTTAAAGAAGCAAGTTTAGAGCAGTTCAATGCATAGGTGTGTTCCATGTGAATTGTATTGCAGATCTCCAATAGGTGAACATAGTGCGATCAATAAACAAATTCCAGACTCTTCAAATATTTATTTAAATCAATTGGGGAAACAATGGATTGTTCAAATATGTACTTTCGTTATTGTTTTCTTGTTGCTATCAGCTAAAGATCTTATTCGCACCACAATTGGTCAGACAAGACTGCTCATAGCAGAAAGGTTTAAACAGTTTGAAGGACTGGTGGATAATTGTGAATTTAAACGGGGTGAAAAAGAAACGACGTGTGCAGACTTAGATGGATTTTGGGACATGGTTAATTTTCAGGTATGTACTTGCATATTAACCTGCTAGAATAAAGTTGATGAGGTTATTCATGAGCAATGGATTTGAAACTATTCTTTTGTGTTTTGAACATTCAGATTCTGATACTATATTTTTTAATAAAAAAAGTCAAGTCTTTGTTTAACACTTACTGATAGTGAATAGTGCCAGCCGGTATACTCCAATTTATAATTCATGGACCTGTTTATCTCTTGTGTCTTCTTGTTGCCTCTGTATCTTGTGTTTCTCTGGAATGAAGGCATGTAGTCAAATCTTATTCTGTTTTGGAGTCAGGATACAGTCACAATGTCTACCTGGACCAAAATTCCTGGACCTCACCTGAAAAGTAGGGTTTCCAGGCTTCAGTATGAGAATAACGCAGAAACTACAATAACCTTATTTAGGGGTGAGCTTAGGTGGTAAAAACCTTTATCTCTCTCTGTTGGTGCTTCCATTGGTTTCAGAACGAAAGATAATATTCTAAATTATCAAGATGGCTCTCGACAGTATTTGTAAATCAGCATTCAACAAAGGGTCTTGTAACTAGTTAAATCATATGCAAAGACGGATTTATTGTTAAAGCCCTAGACATAGGTTTTTAATTCCTTCCAGAAAGCGTAAGGGTTTCACCTCCTTATACATCAGCTATTTGAGGAGAACTTTGCTAGAACCAGTAACTTGAAAAACAGGGTTTACCTATGCTTACTACGTGTCTGGGACAGGATGATGGCGCCTTGGCCTTGCTCGTCGCCCCAGAGCGGCTCAGGGGCCTCCCCTGCACTGTCTTGGGCCCTGGGGCTGATAACACTGTCTAAACATGACCCTGCCCCATGCTCGCCTGCGGCCCTCGCAGGTCCCCAGCCCGGCGCAGGCGTGAGGCAGCCGTCGCAGCCACTTGCAGATGGAAGGAGTGAGTCAAAGCCGAACCCAGAGCTTCGCCTCAGGCCCTGCAGTGAGTCAGTGGCGGGGCTGGGAGCCCAGCCAGGCCATCGCCTGCAAACCCTGTGCTTTACTTTCTTCATTGCTCCAGCCCTTTCGCTAATTAAACGTCTTTAATTTCACGCTCCGGCTGCTGCCCAGTCGGCATACCCCTGTTCATTACGCCCAGGTCTTGTTTTCAGGTTGAGAAAAGCAAGCTCTCCTGGTCGGCTGCTCCTCGCCCGTGGCGGTGGGAGCTGCTGGAGGTGCAAATGGCTGTGTCGGAGCGAGGTGACTCCCAGCCCTGACTTGGGCTGTCCAAGAGCCGCGGGGAGGGGGACAGCCCCTGGGGGACACCACATCCCCCAGGTCCTGGTGCTCGGAGCAGGACAGGGCTCCGCACCACACAGAGTTGCTCACAGCCACCCGCAGCTCACATACCAGGGGCTGTCTGTATGTCTGGCTGTCACTTAATTGCCTAAAAGAGTTGCACTGTCTGTGGGTCGTGCCATGAGTGCTGCTGCTCATCACAGGGGAAACCGCTGGCCAGTTTGATTTTAACCGAGCAACCGTGATCTCAATGTTCAATGCCTTTTGAGACAGTAACTATCCAGCAGAGGTGAGGGAAAGGCTGCAACTCATCCAAACCACCTCACCAGGTGCCCGAGGAGCTGCACCAGCACCATCAGCACATGCAGCGGGTGACTCTGAAGCCACTTGACAAAAAGTGCCGGGCTCTCCCTTTAGAGCTGCAGGAGTAGAGGCAAAAACATTCTGTGAACCAGCCAGCGTCAGGCTCCCCCTCCCATCCTCACCTCTCCAGCATGATCAACCACCAGATCACCCACAGGAACGCCAGAAACTAGTTAAATAAATGAGCACGGAGCGGGGTCGATGTTAAAACTGTCACCTCTGAGCAGGTTATTTATACCTTCACCCATTGATCGGTGCGGGCTTCCTGCCCAAATCAATGCCGGCACCCACGGGGCGAGGGGCAGTGGCTGCCAGACCTGGCAGTGGAGGCGGACAGGTAGGAGGTAAGGGCAGCCGGGCAGCACCACCCCTGCCTGCTATTCCTGCAACGCTACAGCTGCCCGGAGCGGCCGCAGCTGCCAAAACCAGACACCCTCTTCCCTGCCCCAGAAACTTGCTGGGACAAACAGGATGCCAGAGACAATAGTTCATCTGAAAAAAAAACCCATGGAAAACAAGTGCAGGCTCTGACACCTCGCAGTGGGGTGCGGTTTCCCAGCTGGGGGGTGTCTTCCCAGGGCAGCGGTGGGAGCAGACCCCCCGTTTTTTATGGCAAGGACCAAGCTCACGGCGCGGCTGAGATGGGGGACAGGCTGCGCATCCCCCCACACTCAGAAAGCCCCAACGCTGCAAGAAGGGATGCTCCAGATCATCCAGGGAGACAGGCACGGCAAGGAAAAGGACTGGAGCATGCAGGGAAAAGTGGCGAGGAGCCTGGAAGCACCCGGATCTGAGCAATTTTGGGTCATGGGATCACTCTGCCCTGGCTGCTCCGTCTCGCTAATCTCCTCCTGGAAAACAAGCCGCGAAACACCCACGAAAGCCGGGGTGCGGCCCTGGCCCACGTCGTGCCACAACCGGCAATTTGCTGAGGCAATGGCGGCGGCCCCGGCGGGCGGACGGGCACGGCCCCATTGCCAGAGCAGTTCCCCCTCAATACCGAGAGCCGCCGCTCAGCACGTTGCACGCCGGGGGGGAAATTTGGGGATTCTGCCAACCCCAATGGCCACCAAGGATTTGAAACAGGGCTGCCTCGCTTGAGAGCTTTATTTGGGCACCATGTCCCCCCCCTCCGTACCCCACATGGTAAATGGGTGTATGGGAACATCCTCCCACCAGCAACCCGAGCCGGGTTATTTTTAGTGTATGTGTGTGTGTCCCCCGAGGACTATTTGGAGGGCTGGCAGGCATCCCTGTCCCTGTACCCTGCCCAGCTCCCAGGCGACAGCCTTTTGGTGCTTGGTGCCCATGAGGGGGGCACAGACCCGCTTTCCTGGTGTTCCCATGGGAAAACTGCCCCCCACCCCCTGCCGGTTCCGTTTTGGCAGTAGGGATGGTTAGGGACAGCCTGGGGCAAGCAGCGTCCCTTCGGCAGGATGCCATGGGGTTGCTTTGGGCACGGCGTGTCCCCCTGCCCCTCACCGCGGGGCTGTGACCCAGGTTCCCCCCCACACCGTGGGCTCAGCCCTGGCAGAGGGGAAATGCTCCAGCCCCGGAGGTTAAAGCAAACAGGGCAATTTGGGTGCAACCGGTGAGTCACCGGGAAACGCCGCAGGGAGAGAACAGGGGATGGGAGCAGGGGGTCTGGGGGG